CACTACATCATTTGAGGCATTAAGCAGTTCTGTGCAAACAAGTGACTCTGCAATGTACAGGCCAACCCCCCCCCCTTTTGCCTGTTCACTCTGTCACATCTGTATAGGTTGTAACCTGGGATCCATATTTCGTTGTCCAAGTGATCCTTTATGTGGGTCTCAGTGAAAGCCGCGAACATTGCCTTTGCCTCTGCAAGCAGTCCACGGATGAAAGGTATTTTGTTGTTTGTTGCTGGCTTTAGACCCTGTATATTTGCAAAGAAGAATGTTATCGGACTGGTGGTATTGTTGGTACTGGGGGGGGATTTTTTTTCCGGCATTAGTATCTGTATCTGTTGGTTTGGAGTGGAGGCCATCGACTGTGGTTCCACTCCAGGAATGACTGGATTTGGTGTACGATTTCTGCCATTTCCTGCCAGTTTTTTTTCCTTCCTGGCACTAAAAAACCTCTCCCTCTTGAGTGGCTGTGGCTACCCAGGTTTTCCCATGGCCTGGATGTTTTGTATCTTTTTGTCCCCTTTAGATGGTATGCCTGGCAATTTAAGTTATAGCACAGTCTTTCCTGTACTGAAGAGGTACACATTTCAGGGTGAAAAAGCTTACAGGAAGGGAGTTTGCATTTTCCTGTTGTCATATGGGCATGGCATTTTCTAGGGTGGTCATAGTTGCATGTCCCTTCTGTTTTTCCAGATTTCCCATGCCAGCAGATACCAAGTGCATAGTATGTGCACAGGCTTGGTTTCCGCTTGCCTTGGGTTTCTGTGACTGTATTCCCTGTTGGTGCATGTTTCCCTGTCTTACTTCTATCCTCCCTAGCACCAACAATGGAGCTCCCACCAGTTGTTTTTGGTAATTTATCCTCACTATTGCTATTGGAGTCCTCTTGTTTGCTATTTCCTGCGGTATTTCTAGTTTGCAATATTGGTTTTATCTTATCTTTGACTACACTTGTTTCCCTACTATGGCTCCTGTCCCCTATGAGGTCATTTATATGTATTCCTTCCTGCGTATAATTCCCGACTACCTGGACAAAATCTCCAGCTTCACCATTACTGTCTCCCAGGACAGTATCTCCAGCTTCGTAGATGAATGGTTCAGAGAACCGACATGTTGATAAATTAGACACATGTGCAAGATACCCAAGAGTTGCACATGTGTCTAATTTATCAACATCTCCAGCTTCACCATTTCTGTCTCCCAGGACAGCACCTCCAGCTTCACCATTACTGTCTCCCAGGACAGCACTATCAGCCCCACATTTACTGACTACCAGGACATCACCTCCAGCCTTACAGTTTGTGACTACATGGCCAGTATCAAGGGCAGTACCATTTAGCCCAGACTTTTTTATGTTCCCATCTGTTGTAGAAAGCTTCCAGGTTTTCTATGAAAGCAGCTTTGATGTTGTCCTCTTTTAATACCCTTGTGATTTTAGTCCACAGATTTTCGTCATTTGGGCATACCCAAAAACACTTCCCTGTTTTAATACTGCTTGTAGCTAGTTCTTGGATATCTGCACAAGGAGCGTGACACCAATTTCCACAAAAATGACAATTTATCCATGTGGAAGCCAGTTTGTTTGACTGACCACAGACTACACACATTATATTGTGTGGTGGGTTGGTTAATTGCATTTGAAGCCTATCAATTACCCGAGGGCTATTAAGACTGTAAGTAACCTGTATACTAGTCAAGAATACTTTAATACTTAAAACAAGAGATACACACTTCTCGATGTATATGCTTCAATATTTACATAACTTAAAACCAGCGCACACTACAAAATATCAACATTTGTGTAAATATGAACACTTGTATAAATGTGAACACCTATTTAAATATGAACAAACCATACCACGGGAGGGAATAGAACCCGCGATCAGATAGTCTCAGAACTTCAGACCGTCGCGTTAGCCACTGGACCAGCTAGCCACAATAAGATTCGTCCAGCTAGGTATATTTCTACACCATAGGAAGGTTAGCATAGGCACCACTGTAACCACAAATACTACATTATTTAGTTTATATGTGGCATGGTTATTTTCCTACCCAACATTTAGAACTTTGCATTTGTCTATATTAAACTGCATCTGCCACTTCTCCGACCATTGCATCAGTCTATTCAAATCATCCTGGAGTGCTCTAGTGTCCTCATTAGAATGAATTGGACGTCCTATTTTGGTGTCAGCAAATTTGCTTATGTCGCTATTTATTCCCTCATCTATGTCGTTTATGTAAATTGTGAACAACAACGGGCCCAACACTGACCCCTGAGTAACACCGCTTGTGGCGTGCCCCCATTCTAATTTCTCCCCATTTATGCAAACTCTCTGCTGCCTATTTGTCAGCCATACCTCTACCCAGGAAAAAATTTCTCCTCCTATTCCGTGTGTCTTAAGTTTCCTCAATAGCCTCTGATGTGGAACTCTATGGAAATCCTTACTGAAGTCCATATACACAATATCATATTCATTACCATGATCTACCTCCTCAAACACCTTAGTGAAAAATGTTAGTAAATTCGTAAGACAGGAACGCCCCTTTCTAAAACCGTGTTGAGATTCATTAATCAATCTGTGCCTATCAAGATGGCTACGAATTGGTTCGGCAATTATTAATTCCATAAATTTTCCCGCTATGGAGGTAAGGCTTATTGGTCTATAGTTCAAAGCCAAGGACCTGTCACCTGCCTTGTAAATAGGTATTACATTTGCCATTTTCCACTTATCAGGCACTATGCCAGTTTGTAGTGATATGTTAAAAAGATTAGCCAAATGTATGCTAAGTTCCTCTTTACATTCCTTTAACACCCTTGCAAACAGTTCATCAGGGCCTGGGGATTTGTTAGGTTTTAGTTTCTCTATTTGTCAGAGGACATTGTCACTAGTTACTGCACTCGTGCATAGTTTATTATCGTCCTGTTCTACATAATCTATTTCAGGAATATCGCTAGTATTTTCCTGGGTGAAAACTGAGAGGAAGTAGGTATTGAGAATTTCACACATATCCCTATCTGACCAGAGTTACTCTTAAGTGGGCCAATCTTGTCCCTAATCTAACTTCTGTAGGGTTAGTCTTTGAATCCCTTGTGACCTTAGCCTCATAGTCCCTTTTTGCTTTTCCTATTCCTTTCTTCATTTCTCTCTTTAATTGAATATATTGATTTCTAAACTTCCCATCCCCTCTTTTGATACGCCTATATATGCCTCTCTTTTGACCAATGAGATGTTTTAATTTATTGTTCATCCATTAGAGATAATTTTTGTTAGATCTAATTTCCCTACTCGGAACAAAAGTTGTCTGGGCAGCTAGAACTATGCTCTGAAAAACGTCATATTGGCAACCAAGATCACCTATCTGCCGTATAGTCAGGACATCCCAATTTAGCCCACCCAGGTAATTTGTGAATGACACGATGGAAGCGATAGACTAATGACCTGAAGTTAATGAGTAGAACTCAATCGGAGGAGGATCAGGCATTACTAAAAAGGGATCTGCACAGGCTGCAGGCTTGTTCCAGTAACTGGTTGCTGGAGTTCAACCCCAACAAGTGCAAAGTCATGAAGATCAGGGAAGGGTAAAGAAGAATACAGAGTTCAGTCTAGGGGGCCAAAGACTACAAACCTCGCACAAGGAAAAGAATTTTGGGGTGACCACATCTATTGAGGAGCACATCAACTAAATAACTGTTGCAGTACATGGGTAACTAGCAAACCCAAGTGTAGCATTCCAACATCTCAGAAAGGAATCGTTCAGGACTTTGTACACAGTGAAGGTCAGGCTCATATTGGAGTATGCAGCACCAGTTTGGAACCCACACCTGGGCAAATACGTAAGGAAATTAGAGAAAGTACAAAGGATTGCAACGAGACTACTCCCGGAGATGAATGCATGTCCTACGAGGATATGCTAAGGGAAATAGACCTGATGACACTGGAGGACAGGAGGAATAGAGTTAGGGGAACATGATTACGTGTAAAATACTGAGAGGAATCGACAACGTGGACAAAGACTGGATGTTCCAGAGATGGGACAAGGCAACAAGGGGTCACAGTTGGACGTTAAAGACAATTGTGTTGCAGTGGTCTTAACAAAAGGTTTGAGCAGAGGTTATCAAAGATTTGCTACGTTGTACCATGAATTAAGGAAAGATACTAGACTTCACCTTACGAAAGAAGAAAAAAATATGGGATAGTAATTATGGACAAGGTAGATTATAAGGGAAAAATAAACGTAATATTAGGAGACAAAACTCAGGCGCCTCTTAATGAGTAGGGGAAGCACAGACTGAAGCAAGAGAACGCTTTTGAAGAAAACGTGTTGGCGAGGCTAGGAAGGGTACTTAATGGCCGCACAACCAAGCATCATCAACACTCTGGTAGTGTGAGCACAAACTCCGTACTACCTCCTCTTCAGTTAAAAGCACTGAACTCTGTTAGCCATATCTGCACGGCCTATATTTTAAATAATAATAACGTTAATGACGGTCCTCCATTACGGAGAGACACTTTGTAAATCTACAGCAGCTGTGTCATATCTACACTGGAAGGTTTTTCACAACCGAAACAGGCAACCGAAAGTGTGAAATAACACACAAGTGCAGAATTAAAATATTTTAACTAGGAACCTTTCGCCATGAATGGTTTCTTCAGTCCTGAAGAAGTCATTGATGGGGACAAGTGTCCTCAACTTGATACCCTTATATTGCACATGTGTCTTATTGCACATTTGTTGGTATTTTATACAATATCTTAACCAGGAAAAGGAAGAGTTCAGGTATCCTTAACAATGTTTGACGTTGATACCAATAGTAAATGTAGTGAAACCATATTTAGCTAATGTTAAAATATTAAAAAAAATCATCAGGAATAAGAAAGCAATATCAAACCAAATGCTTCCAGATTTATCTATACTTTTAACGTACAGAGAAAAAAAGCACAGAAAAAGGAAATTATCTGATTTGCAGAAAACTCTAACATAGCAAGATATCTGCACCTCACCTGAGAGGTTTCTGGATAGTTACAAGGTCAAGGATGTGCAGCGGGTCTTCGTGGTGACGTTCCAGAGACAGTAATATGTCAAAGAGACGCCGAGGCTGGATCTGGAAACAAATGTCCAGGAAAGTTTAAATTTCACATACACACATATATAATAATCTGCCTAATAAACAAGAAATATTTCATGTTCAGAAGATGTATAGAAAGCAAAGATAGATAGATAACTACATTTTTATAATTATTATTATGATATAGTAATGATAATACTACTAAGAATATTATTATATAATTATTACTATTATTGTAAGTAGTAGTAGTAATAGTGGTAGTAGTGGAAACAGTAGTTGAATAACATTAGAAGTAGTCGTATTAGTAGTAGTAATGGTGGTGCTGATGTTAGCACTATGGTGGTGGTGGTGGTGGTGGTAGTAGTAGTAATAATAATAATAGTAGAAATGGTAGTAGTTGTTGTAGTTGTACTTTTAGTATTTAAAATAGAAGAGGTAACCGAAGTAGTAGAGGTATTATTATCAGTAGTAGTAATAGTAATGGTAGAAGCAGTAGTAGCAGCAGTAATTAGTTATTTATGTTGTTGTTGTAGTCATAATATTAGAAATAGTAGTGGAAGTAGCAGCAGTAGTGATAGTAGCTGTAGTTGTAGTAGAAGCAGCAGTCATAGTAGTTGTAGAAATAGTACAAGTCATAATAGTAAAAGTAGTAGTAGTCGTAGTAGTAATATTGCTGGTGATAATAGTAGTAGTACTTATAGTATTATAAAGACTGGTAATAGTAATGAAGCTTTTATAAATAAATGAAACGTTTAAGTAGATCACATTACATAAGAGTGCAGCATTATGCTGTCTACTGTAAGACCATAATCATAACATTTCTTTGAAAGCCAATGAAAATACAACATTGAAAATACAACATTGAAAATACAACATTGAAAATACAACATTGAAAATACAACATTGAAAATACAACATTGAAAATACAACATTGAAAATGCAACTCTGAAAATGCAGCATTGTCAATGATATAATTGCTACTCTAATACGGAACATCTTATTACTACTCCAGCGTTACGAGTTATTACAGGGTTGTAGCAGTAGTAGCAGTAGAAGTAGTAGTAGTAGCAGTAGTAGTAGTAGTAGTAGTAGTAGTAGCAGTAGTAGTACTAGTAGTAGTAGTAATAGTAGTAGTAGTAGTAGCAGTAGTAGAAGTAGTAGTAATAGTAGTAGTAGTAGTAGTAAAAGTTTTAGTACTAGTAGCATCGGCAGCAGAAGCAATAATAGTTGCAGCGGTATTAGCACTAGTTATAGTAGTAGTGATAGTGGCAGTTGTGGTAATAGTAATAGTAGAAGTTTTATATTCATTAACAATAATAAGTAGTGATAATATTAGTAGTAGCGATAGTAGTGGTTGAGACAGAGGTAGTAAAAGCATTAGTTAAAGTAGTGGTAGTACGGGTAGTTGTAGTAGCAGTAGTGGTTATAGTAGTAGTAGTGGTGGCAGTAGTAGTAGTAGCAGTACTAGTGGTTGTAGTTGTAGTAGTAGTGGTGGTTGTGGAAGTAGTAGTGGCAGTAGTAGTGGTAGTCTTTATACTACTGCAGATGCAGTAGTATAAAGACAAAATATGACAAAACCCTCTTGGTTAGTTAGGGACGTAATTTGATTAACTCTTTAAGTTGGGAACATTTATGCATGAAGACATCAGTTGAACCTTACACAAGGAAACGAACCTTATTGGCATCTCCGTAAATAGCAGTCTCATCCATGTCTAGGATGGAAGCAACAGAACCCAGCATCTGCAGGACGAAGGGTTTACGGTGGAGGATATATAGCTGCTTAACAATGAACTCGATCACAGTCACCACCATCTTGTTGCTCTGGTAGTTGCTGTATATTCTTAAAATTGTTGGCATGATGTGTAGATACCTGGGATAAGGAAAAGCGGCCATCAGGACTCCGAGGTATACCACTAGTAAACAAATATCTATAAACAAATTTAGGTATTTAATTTTAGCATCCATGGACTGAAACAATATTCATATTCTAAGAATACATTACGGATTTTTTTTCTTCAGTATCTGGAAATATTTAAGTCTTTTATAATTATTTACGGTATGCACAGATTATTATAATAATAAAAGCGCTAAACCCGTATAGGTCATACTGCACAATATTGTATGAGTGAATGAGATTAAAATACATTAGACTTATATAAAATTTGGTGAATATATAAAGAAAAGGGACGTCAGCACAGGATTGCATTATGAGTAATTGTTACAACTTTTACATAAGTCTCGTATAAAGTATGATGATCCTGCAAAATGCAATACCCCCTCCCCCTCCCCCTCCTTGAGAATGCAGGTACTATACAGTCCGCCTCCAGGACTCAAGTCCGGCTAACTAGTTTCTTTGAAACCCTTCATAAACGATATCCTGTTCGCACTCAAGCGGCACATCAGATCATAGAAACTACTCAATCCAATGCAACACACTCACACAAAGTTATTGGTGGCCACATCCCCTCCCGTCAACCATTCAACGGTATGATTTACATAACTTAGTCATCCTACAATATATTATTCACTCGTATTTAAATATCTAAACTACTTTACCTTCCCTTTCCTCAGCCATCTGAGTAACAACACTCTTGATAACTCTACATCTAATACCCAATCTCCGATTTCTCTGCATACTATTCACACAACACATTGCCTTCAAACACGACGTCTCCGCTGCCTCCGATCTTCTTGCTGCAACATTTAAAACCCCAGACTCATATCTATACAATAGTTTTCTTACCGCTATGCTCTGGTACATTTACTTTTTGCTTCTATGGATAAATTTCTTTGTCACCACGGATGCTTCGGTGAACCTCTCTTTCTTTTTCCTTCGTCAGTTCTATGGTTCGCCTCATCTTATATACTCCCTCCAATCCGATATTCAGTCTCTCACTGCCTCCATCTTTTGTTACTCTTATCCTGCTCTTTCCTACATTCACTTTTAATTTCCTTCTATTACATATCATACGAAATTACTCCACCAAACTTTGCAACATCTCGAAATTTTAACTGTGACAACTGCAACACTGTGATTAATTAATTATCATTTAATTTTACATGTCACCCCAACATCTAAGTATTCACTTCATTTACAGCTCGATATATAAATATGTTTAAACAACAATGGTAACATAGATCCCTCTTTAATGCCTACTTTTACTGGAAAATAGTTCCCCTCTCCCGTATATCCTAGCCAAAGCCTCATTATTTCCATCAAAGTTCCTTATTGCTATCAGTAGCTTGCTATCCCGTCATATACTTTTCCTAAACGCACTAATGCTCCCCAGATTTCCTTACCTTTATCTTAGTATTAGTTACAATTTTCAGTATAAAAACTTGGTCTACACATCCCATACCTTTCCTTTATCCTGTTAGTTTCTCTGTAATCGTACGTTTTGTCTTTCTCTAAATTCTGTCAATTCACCTAGTAAAGTGTATGGCAGAATTATTCCTTATTTCCTTATACAAAGGAGCTATATATGCTCTCTGACAATCCTTAGGTGCTCCATCCTCTTCCATAAAGTTCTGAACCATTACAAAGCTATTGTGGATTTTTTTATATAATTTTCCTAACTGTGAAGTATATAAATGTAATTAGAAGTGATGAGTGTAAAACTGTGACACTAAGCTGACCTTCTAAAAAATTCGAAGAAAGGGGGCACCAACGTCGCATAGTAATACACAGGGTAAGACGCCATATTTGAGTAATCTGAGAACACCCTTGTTACAATTGCGAAAGGAAATCTGGCGTTATCGAGGCCAGTTTTGGGAATATTGGCCTCGATCCACAGATCGATCCACATTAGCATCCCCCACAGAAGAATTTGTCTAAATTTTGGGTGTAACCACTATAACAGAGTAGTATGAATGAAAAAATGGAGGACACTGGGTCTTCTTTGCTGTATACCTTAGATAAGTAACTCTTACCCGTAAATTCTAGTAGTTTTGCGTTGGCCTCCGTAATTTCTAGGTTAGAGTAGCGTTAGTGTGTGTTTCACCACTAATATTGGTGGCGAGTGCTAATATTAAAATTTTTCTTTTTAGATAATTTGTATAATCTTTCTTCACCATACGCAGGTATAATGTTAATAATATAAGTAATGGACTCAACATCTTATTCTTTCAGGTCGCAAAATAATATACACAGTCAACTATGTTATAATTTACCAGAGTTACTGGTATTATTTTATTTATCTTTAATATTCCGAGTCCCGACTTTACCTGTGAGTTATCCTAGGTAACTGTATTTGTGTATACCTAAACTTACATATTTACTTAGTTGTACCTCCCTTAAATTGTGTGGATTAAATATTTCAGGAATGTACCTGTTAATATCACTCCCATAATTTCCCACAGCTATATTCCCCAATGTATCGCTGTAGACTAAAGCATTTCACCCCTCCATGTAAGCTGTGTACATTTAATAACACATACTTGAAAATCTCTCCCAACAAGATCATCACTAGTAATTCCTTCCTTAAATCACTTGCAAAGGCAACTGCTCAGTAAGAAATTTCTCTTTTATCTCTTAATTCTAATATATCACAAATTAAATCCACTGCTGGATCTAAGCAGGAATCTACTGGCCGAACTGCATCTGCGCTTCTTGCCACCTTCCTAGTTAAGAACGATATGAACTATGTTAAGTTAAGCATAAGAATTAACAGCAGGGAGTCTACACTGCAAACTGAATTGTTTGCCATCCTGATAGCACTAAAGTTAACTTATGACACTGAGCTTGACTCAATGATTATTTCTGATTCTGTCATCACTGAAGGCTCTTGACTCACATAATGACTAATAACATACTCATTGGAGAAGCCAGATATAGATACTAAAAATTCCGAGAAAAGGGAATTAAATTACAATTTTTATGGATCACGTTACACATTGCATTACTACTTCACGATAAAAATTGATAAGTTAGCCCCCCCCCCAAAAAAAAAGGACCATGAATGAAAATGCAGTATATAACTTCGGTAAGTCTGTGACTTGCAAACGGGCTTTTTTTATGGATTATGTGTAACTTCTGTTGGAACTGGGCCCATACATCTTGTGCAGATATTCAGGAATCATCTACAAGAGATATTAAACCAGGGAAGTGTTTTTGGTATGCCCAAATGAGAACCAACTGTGGAAAAAATCACATTGGTAATAAAAGACGGAAACATCAAAATGGCCTTCATAGAAAACATGACAGCATTTTATAACAGATGGGAAAATAAAAGAACTGAGCCAGATGGTGCTATTGCCCCTGTTGAAGATGCTGTGCTGGTAGTTAGTAACTGTAAGAATACAGAATTGAACGTTGGTGGTTCGGAGGGAGACAGAAGCTCTAGTGCAGAAACAGGTGTAGACAAGGACATACAAAACCCAATGTTACAAACTAGCAATAAGGGGATGCCCCAAGGAATAGTGAAGATAGAATACCAAAAAAGAGCTGGTGAAAGCACAATTGTTAGTACAAGTGTGTGTGTTTAGACAGAAAAACACGCTGAAAAACCAAGTTAAGCAAAAATCAGACCAATGCAAATTCTATGCATTAGGTATATGCAGGCATGGAATATCTGGAAAACATAGATGGGACGTGCAACTTTGACCACCCCAGAAAATGCTGTTATTATGAAAACAGGAAAATGCAGAAAGAGAAAATGCAGGAAAAGAAGATGTAAATAGAAACAGAAAGGTGCTCCCTTTACAGGCGAAGGCAAATAATAAAAAGAGAGACTAGAAGAGGTCAATATATCTGTATTGCGAAGCGAGGCACTGGTCAGAGAAACAGCAAATATTGAACTAAAGCTAAAGGAATCTCACAGGAGTCAAGAAAAGTGGGAAGAACTAAAAGCCATAAATGAAATTGAAAGAAACCCAAAATATTTCTTTTCTTATGCCAAATCAAAGTCAGGAACAACATCCAGTATTGGGCCCATACATAGACGAGATGGGTCCTACACAAATGACAGGAAGGAAATGAGTGAGCTACTCATGTCCCAGTATGACTCGGTTTTTAGCGAGCTGTTAACCAGACTGAGAATCGAAGACAGAATTTGGTAGACTCAAACCTATCTGATATTATCCTGATGCAAAATGACTTTGAAATGGATATTATCCTATCTGATATTATCCTGATGTGAAATGACTCATGGAACTCCGGGTTCATCAAGAATTGCAAGAAGCACCAATTATGTGCTTTTAACATCCTATGGAGAGAGAACATGGACACAGAGGTCTTCTCACAGCCGCTAAAATCAACAGGGGGCAGTAAAGCAGCAGCAAAGAACTACAGACCGATAATGCTAACATCCCATATCATAAAAATCTTTGAAAAGGTTCTAAGAAGCAAGATCGCCACCTATCTAGATACCCATCAGTGTTTAATGAGATTATTTGGTGTAGCTGGTAGCGGGTGTGTGAATAATAAACGTCTTCGGAGGCTTCTTACTTTATTTGCAAAGTCGTGGTGGGTACACAGGCTTGTGTGTTGTGCCCATGGCCCAGGAGGGCCATCCCACGAGAGGGAGAAAGCTAGTAGGCCTTGTGTTTTCCTGCTAGGCCGCTGTGAGAGTGAAAAAGTGTGGGGCCAGCTTCCCACAGACCTGGACAGGCCCAGAGGGTAGCACTTGAGTGGCGCGAAATATGAACTAAGCTGGCAGACAGCATAAGCTGTCTGTGCGGACAGTACAGGCTGTCTACATTTGCTCGGCCACCCAGATGCGACAATGCTGGTGCTAAAAAAATATCGGTTTCTCTCTCGTAGGAACAGGGCACAGAACACAAAATAAAAACATATATACATATGGACATGGAAAAAAAAGCTTCCTACAGGGAGGGAAGAAAAAAACATGTGGGGTGTGCTAAACATCGTGGTCAAAGGCAGTGAACGTTGAAGG